TGACCTGCAGTGGACCAGAACAGGATTGTTGCCGGCTCTTCTTTGAATGGTCAGACATCTCATTTATCACACTGGTGATAGTGGCCAGTGAGAGCAGCTGCCATCAGGTCTCCAGTTAGTCATGTGCAACTGAACCACCTGGTGGGCACTGCTGCCTGTATAAAAAAGACCCCAAAATATATTTTCTACCACCCTATGAAAACCTTCCTTAAAACCTTCTCACTGTAGACGCTATTTTGCGTATGATGAATCCCTCATGACCTTTTCCTCCATCAGATCAACTGTGTAGCCACAAACTGAATCAGTCCAGTCTGAGGCCAATACTGATAACACGTCTCCTGCAGTTTTCAAGAGCACTTGTAGCTACGAGAATCACTGTGCCAGAGGAGGTGTTTGGCTACCTGTTCGTCTTCCACCAAGTCACAGAGCATAACAATGACTCCACACTTCCTGTCATGGACCATCTTCCAGAAATCTCTGGCTGTGGACTCCATGGGACTCTGAGCTATGATGAATGCTCTCTGTTGCTTGTAACCCTGCGAAACAAAAATGCAGTTGGTGAAATTAAGTAAAAGTGTCACCCAAAGGAGTGCATACATTAACAAAAACGGCGTGGATATAAGTCTGGAGATCTCCTCTCAGTGTCACACGCCAGGCATCACCTACAGTATGAGTTTTTACAAAGAATGAGAGAGAAATAATCAACACACCACAACCCTCACCCACAAGCAACATTCAACACACACACACATTGTATTTTCATACACATGACCACAGTGAGTACATGACTCATAGAACCTACCAGGGAGGTAGTCATCACTCGATTCTTGGTGAGATTACGAAGAGCCTCGCTCCTTGTAATCTCTCCTGGCTTTACAGAAACCTTCTCAAGTACCTACGCATTTGAAAAATGCTCAGTTTAGTATTTATTGATAGCTAATGTGCATTGATTTTACCTCGAACTGCTTTTCAAAATCGTTGAGATTGGTTTGTGTGTCACATTCAGTCATTTTCTGAGTAACTCTGCGGAGGTTACAGGCATCGATTTGGGTATCACCGCATGTCAGGACCTCAAGGATAGCATCATGGATGAAGATATATTGTTCCTGTGTTCAACAGCAACACCAAATACGGTCACTGGAATAGCTATGCACACTACTACAACGATGCAATGGACTGGAAAAGAATTGAAGAGGACCTCACAAATTCCTATAGTAGGCAGTAGTGACATAACCTCTAAGCCAGATAGTGATACAAAATTACATAAGCAGTGTATGCACTGCCAGGTGTATCCCATCCCCACTAGTTGCACCACTCACCAAGCTCTGGACCATTTTCATTCTCTGTGTGCGGAGGTGGATGATGACACCAGCTATATCCACCACCTTCTCCTCCTCTTGCAGCTGCTCAAGAACACAGTCAATAGTTATCAGAGTCCCTGTCCTCCCAACACCAGCACTGTTTGAATAGGCAACGTAATCGTTTAAGCTTATACCATGCAAATTGTTGTACCTGCAGTGGACAATAATTGGACCCATTCCTCCCTTGTGATGTTTCTTCATTTTTTTGTGGAAGGCCAGAAGTGAAGTGGCATAGTCAGGCACTCCATGGTCAGGCCAGGCTGTGAAGTGGAACTGAGTCACACTCAGAGCTGGTTCTGAGCTATCTGCCAGCTGTGAGAGTGACAATTGCTTCATGATAATCACATGCACAGACATAACATGATTGCATTTACCTGGACACTAAACTCCCGAGTGGTGTAGTCAGCCAGTATCTGTTGTCCTGTGATGGTGACATTGAAGGGACCGAAGGACAGGGTCCCAGTCTCTGGCCAGTACTTGTGACACTTGATCCTATTTCCCTCCACCAGATTGGTGACCATCACAATGCTCTGAGACCTCTCCTGCCACACCATCCTCCAGAAGTCAACAGTTGTGTTAGGCAGTGGTCCTGTAGTAAACACCTTGCATCAAAGACAGTCTGGCTACTACTTTGGCTTACCTTGTGTCGCTATGAACTTGTGCTCAAAGTTGTATCCCTATACATAGAGTGAGCAAGAGAGTTTACATAGGTGTTACACTCATGCAGTAAGTTCACTGCACATTATGGACTGGACTTAGTAAGATAGGAATCCAGCTTACATCAATGTAACTGGCATTAATGTAGTCTCCTTTGTACTCAGTGTGTCCTTCAACTGCCATGAGTAAGACCCTGTTATCATCATCTGGATTGACATGTTCCATAATGAATAGAGCACAGATGGCAACAGTAATGCCTTACATGGCATGATATTTTTATATCTGTTGAGCTTTTGCAGACTCGTGTTAGATCCAGCAATCGTGGAAAAGCCTGCACCACAGTCTTGCATCACCTGAAACAGAGTCCAGGTGTAGTTTAGTGTTGCCTCGTGCATGCAAATGCTCAGTCCAATCTCACTGTAAACTGATGTTTGAAGTCTCTGTTGTCACTGGAGTGACATCGTGTGACGTAATCTCCAAACACTTCAGACAAGATTGGATCAAAGAAGGCATTTTCCTTCAGTGTAGGAGAGTCGTCACTTCCCTGAGAGACAAATAAAGCTAAGTATCCTCTGCTTGTATACTACTTCTCCCCTTACCTCAATGTCGAGCAAATATTTTTCCAGATCATCAGTCTTCTCTTCAATAGGTGCCATCGCTGGCTCTGTGATGGAAAACCAAAAACACGTTCAGAATCAATTGTCAATAAAAAATTTTTAATTGACATACCAATCATTGTTGTCTCTGTGGAGAGAGCGTGCTCAATAGCCTCGCTGTCATGGGAGATGTAGAAGGGGTTAGTGTGGAGAGAAGAGGGAGTGAACCCGTGGAAGCTTTCAAAACCCAAAGAGAGACTCAGCCTCTTGAGGGACATCTTCTTTGACTTAGTACAACATCGCCTCCTGGTGAAAGAGGATTTCCAGATACACAATATAAAACAGTTAGGGTGTGAAAGGTTGCCCGGTCAAGAAAGCTATTCCGTGCCTCACTTGTGTGCTCACTTTACCTATGGATGCAGTTAGGGTGTGACCCTAATTAATCTGAGGTAACCTGGTAAAGAAGGCCATTCAGTGCCCTGTCAACGCCCTTACATTACCAATGTGTGTACAGCTAGGGTGAATCTGAGGTAACCTGGTAAAGAAAGATATTCTACACCTCTCTCATAACCTTTCATTCTTACATTACCTATATGTGTACAGTTAGGGTGTGACTTACCGACAGATGCAAACGCAGAAGACTATGATGCAAAACAGAATTAATGCTATTATGATTGCCAAGAGAAGAATCAGTATCCAGGTATAGTCAAATCTGGAATCTGCAATTTGAGAGAATTATTATTTCAACCTCTAAAAGCTCGAACCAACAACTGAGGAACCTTACCGTTTTGTGGACGTTGAGCATCAGTAATGTCTACATCAGGATCAGGTTCAGTTGGGTGGCCAGTAGGTGTAACACTGACAGGTGAAGTTGCAGGTTCTGGGAAATTTGTTACAAAATATGCATTTGATAACCTCTGCTTTGTGTAAAATTGCGGATTAGGGAACTATATTATTATTGATACTGTAGTATGCTACATGGCATCATTACCATCAGACTGTGACAGGGTAGGAGATGGCATATCATCCCGTAGTTGTTGAGAAATAGATGTGGACATAATATTTAACCCTCGGCGCATATGACATTTCCATCAGTAGATGATGGACTAGTCTGCACATTGGCTGATGTATTTGTAACTAAGAAGACAATTCCATCAGGTGTTACACTGACAGATATACATACGCGTTGCCACCCTTACCATAATGTCTAACGTGTTTCTAAATACACACGTGCACAAGCAGGGTGTCGTGGGTTCAAATCCCACCCATCATCAGAGGTTGTCTCGCAATGTCTAAACGCTATCTAACCTGTGTCAGAGTTAGCTAGAGACCATGATATGAGTAAATTGACAGTGTAGCCCAGCTGGGCGCATAAATTGGTGGTACTGACCTGTGCATATGTGTGGGTGCAATGGGATATTCGCCCACGTCTAGTACGCCGAGGGTTTGCACTTCATTAAAATTGTCTGACGTAATATTACCACTAGTAGGTGGCAGATTTGTCGATGTAGCAGTGATACCAGTAGATGTAGACCCCACGGGAGAGAAAAAATTTGCTGATGTGGGTTCTAGTAATCAAGGATAGTAGAACTTAGGCAAGTAACATTTGGTTTTTACAACATGTGAGGTTCATGGACCGTTGAAAGGATATAGCTATCACAGCTAAAACTGATAAAGTTGGGTATCTTGTTTATATACTTGTTTATAGAGCAGCTGATTATGTGTGTACTGACACTCATGAATAAGCATTTACAGCCTGAGGAAAAACAGTGATCTTTGCACAATTGATTTACCAGTATTTGGCAATGTAGGGAGTCATACTAGCAGATGTAGATGACACAGATGAGTGAACCCTCAACGATGGGTGTAATTTAAATAAAAGGGAATGTTGAGAAGAATGTGCCTAGTTATGTCATTGGAAGCTAACCTGTTGTTGTCTGAAATGGACAACGACTCTGGTTGAAGTGAAAGTGCACAGTTTAAATATTACATAGACCCATCTCCCCAAGTTTGTTCATTGTTCACCAATTACATTACTTATGTTATGCCATATGCAGCTATTTAGCTGGCAAAGAGAGCCTACCTAGTCATCTGAATGCGAGATGCGTAACATAATTATACACATAATTCAGTATACCATTGAGTAGAGGTGTGGATGGTAGATCAGCAGTAGGCGCCAATCTAGTATATGAGGTGGATAGACCTTGCAAGTGACTGGGTGTACCTGTTATAGAGATGAATAGTTCATGTAATTTCTTAGCACTGTTTGGTTGCTGAGGAATTTACTACTCATGCACTGAAGAGACTTGTCTGCTGGCAACATTGACATGTATCAATGTCGATAATGTAGCCAAAAAATTTAGTCCCAAAGATATTGCAAATTAGCAATGTGATAATAAGCTCCGTAATTGGGAACGTGATACCTATGTACCTGGAGAACTATGAACACATTTTTGGCAAAAGAGTGAAGTAGGTACGTAGTCCATGAACCTAGGTAGCTAATGCCTACGCAAATAGACACATTCAGGTGGACAGAAGCTGACTACTGGACTAGAACAGGCCCAGGCCAACATTCAGGTTCCTAGGAGAAGAGGCTCATTTTTTGATTGATAAGTGGACCTCAATTAAAATTAATGGGCATACTTATTGTTGGTGATGATACTAGTGGATTTGTGATGGTTGGGTTAATAGTGGTAGTAGGAGCTACTGAGACAGAGGTCATAACAGGAAAATGCCAAACGTGAAATGTCAACATGTGTAAATGCAACATAATGAGAATAAAAATTGTTTCCTCCTACCAGATGAAAGTAATGAAGGCGCAGGTTGAGTACTAGATGGTGTTATAGAGACAGCAGCAGAAGACACCATGGTAGTCACTGTACCTGTGAAATGGCACACATGTAAGAGTAATAATATTTGTTTGCATGTTTGTGAGACTTTCTCTGTGTGTTCTGGATTAGTGGTTAAGTAGACATCAGAACGAAATTAACAATGTGTTTACAGGTATATAGCTGGTATATTAGCAGACACACACTGACCTTTGGATTCCTTTGTTCACTATACACACAAGAAACATGGCATTGTACAACTCATTTTTAGGCTAGTTCTGCTAATTTATGGGAGCTTTGTTGTACAGTACACACAGTTTTCACATCTAGTCGGCAAAGACACACTTCATATCCCGAAACTTCCCTGGAATTTTCAGTTACTGTGCTCTAAAAATATAGTACAAATAACCTTGGTTTGTATATATGCTCAGTACTTACATAAGCTACCTACCCGTAATTTATTTACGAACTTCGCATTAGCTCGTAGAACCAAGCTGATTATACAGTTTCACTGCCGCGTTGCCTGTTGTGGCAAATCAGCTTACAGAGAGACAGACTGACAGACAAACACATTACACACACACACACACACACACACACACACACGGAAAAACACAAAGAGCTGTAAAGGTCACTCTGACCAGTCAGTTGCCTGCTTTTGTTGAATGGACACACTCAGATAAACATTACATACTCAGACAGACACTCGGAAACACACAGGTAACCATCACTTCACACTGCCACAGAGAGCTAGTATATACTTGTGGGAGGCAGTGGTACAGGTGGAGTCGTGATGGTAGAGATAACAGTTGGAGTAGGAGTGACTGACACAAGAGTCCCTGAATCATGACTTGAAGTACCTGTAATCCATTGGAACACACAAACACTGGCAAACACATTACTCAAAGATATACAGGTATACAGGATAATTTCAAGAAGGGCAACCAATCATGACATTTTGGTTCTTACAAAATTTTACAACATCAAAAGAAAGAATAAACACTTGGGTTTATTACCAGATGAAGGTGATTCAGTTGGCAAGGGGGAAACTGTGGTAGTATCAGGTACTGTTTTATACACTGAGGTGGTCACTGTACTCGTGAAACCTGCCATGAAATAGTAGTACTAGGAATAAGGTATCATGCCCATATGCATATATCCTACCAGGTGAAGGTGATCCAGTTGGTGAGGGGGCAGTTCTGGTAGCAACAAGTCCTGTTGTATACACTGACGAAGACATAGTGTTGACTATCGTAGTCGTGAAACATAGTATGAGATTAAAAGGTAGCAGTACTATGTCCAGTGAATGTAACCTACCATGTGAAGGCGATTCAGTTGGTGAGGGGGAGAGTATAGTAGTATCAATTCCTGAGGAAGACACCATGGTGGTCACCTTAGCTGTGGAACCTAGCATTAAATATCAGTATAGACAGATAATTTCAAGGAGGGCAACCATGCAATAGTAATCAGGGGGGATGTTGGTTATTACAACATTTTACAAGAAATAAACACTTGGATATATTACCAGATGAAGGTGATTCTGTTTGCAAGGGGGGAACTGTGGTAGCATCAAGTCCTGTTGTATAAACTGAAGAAGACACAGCAGTGGCCATCCTAGATGTGAAACCTAGCATGAGAACATTAAGTAGCAGTACTAGGACTAAGGTATCATGTCCATTGAATATATCCTACCAGGTGAAGGTGACTCAGTTGGTGAGGGGGAGAGTTTAGTAGTATCAAGTCCTGAGGGAGACACCGTGGCAGTCACCATAGCTGTAGAACCTGGTATGAGTAGGAGAACGTAGAGACAGAGGAAGACACCAAGGAGGTCATTATAGCTGAATTATCAGGTGATGTCACTAGAAAGACCTGAAATAGAGTAACAATACATTCTTACTTGTGGATGGGAGAGATATTGGTGAAGTTATGATCAAGCCAACAGAAGAAGCAGTCACTGAGACATGGGTCATAGCAACACTTGTAGTGCCAACTGTAGAAGAACATATTCGCATAATAGACACAGTAGCAGTTGCAAAACATTATTCTACTCTGACAGCTAACACTTTCTAGATTTCGGAGACCCACATAATAATTATTTTGCCACCATGACATAACCACAGCCTTAGCAGCACACACAAAAAAGAAGGTGAAAGAGTGACTCTCTTACTGGTATAGCTTGCAGCTGTAGTAGAGTGAATAGAAAAAATCGCTGCAGTTGACTCTGAAGGATAGTTGGTTTTCAGAATACATGGCTATACACACACATTTTAACCCTTACCTTTGACAGCAGTACAGTTTGACTCAGAGGGGGCTGGGTCACATTCTACAACATTTATTCCATCAAAAGGATCTGTGTTTGTGAAATGGTAACAATAATATCTAGAGCCCAACAAAAACTTTACCAAACAATGTTATTGTGCAGTTATTAGACTCTCCAGAAAGGTGTTCTGAAGTAGCCTCCACTGAGAATTGATAGGATGTGTTCCTGTCAAGATTTGTTATGTTTGAACTAGTGGAGGACACAGCTACAGTCTGATTTATGTAATTGACTCCATGACTGTAGTGTACTACATATCCAGTCACTGTGGCTCCTCCTGATGGCTGACTCCACTCCACTATCACTGACGTAGCTGATGTCTGTGTCAGTGTTAGATTGAATGGGTCAGAGGCCACTGTGGGGAGGAAAGTAATTATGTAGAGTCTGTATAACTATTTTTACTATTATGTGAGCAAGTGCAATTATACATTGTCTGTAAAGAAGAAGTATCGGCTACACATGCATTTCCACAAATGGGCTTGGCGTTGATAGCACAAAAATTTTGTAGAAAGTAAAATTAAGTGTCTAAGCAGATATACCTCTCAACTCCACAACATTTAGTTGATCAGCAGCAGCTCCATTAGATGCATTACACTGATATATATCTCTATCACATCCTTCAGATATAGTATTGGTAGTGGCAGTGTAGGTATCATTTCCTATTTTCTCTGGAACCCCAACTGGTTCTACATTCATGTGGCCTTGTTCTTCACCAGAATATTGTGGTCCAGAAACAGTCATATTCAGTGTCCTCCCACCAGCAGAGGTACATCTCACTCTGAAAGTCCCTTCCCTTCCTGACATCACCTCAATGGCACCTGATACTGAATAAACTGAAAAAGGCAATTGAAATGAATTGCTGCTGGTATATATATACAATGAAAATTAATGTCATGTCACTTTTCCCCTTAAAGTTACATCCCACACAATCATCACTAGGTGTCTAGACTCTTTGAAAAAGCAGACACTAGACTTCATGCATCTGTAAACACTGTCCAAATAGACTCACTTGGGTACAAGATGTGAATAGAGTCACTAAATCCATAATATTCACATTTAAAGTATCCCTCAATTGCAGGTTGGCTATTGTGATCCCTCTGCAATACTGCTGTTGGATGTCCATTAATGGTCTTTTTTATACTTGTCCATCCTTCATAAGACGCATTTTGTTGCATTTTTCTCCTCATTAGAATCCAATAAATATCACGCTTTGTGTTTCCAACTATTCTCTCTGGAGCTTTACATCTGAGACCGATAGTTTCACTGCCAGGATTGGAATAGATAACGTCAGTAACACTGATAGGTCCACAAGTATCATTGGGGTTTTGACTGGCATTCCATACAAGGTAAAATGTCACACCTGCAATTATGAAACAGTTCTAAGGTATAGTACTTGGTAGAATACTCATTTCAGCTATTTAACACGTTTGAAGTCAAGTAAAGTCCTGTAGACAGAAGTCCGACACTCTGTGAAGAAACAATATCGCATGGACCCAGTTGGGATAGTTTGAGTGCCAAAAAGGTGGCTTATTGGCTTTTAGCTTAGCACATGAGTGCCTAACTGGAGGTCTTAAATCCCAACAGCATGGGTCCCTGATTTTCTTCCCAAAAACAGGTATATACATCCCTCTGTAAAAATCCCATGTAAGCTTATTCGTTATTAATGGCTAGCTAGCTAGACAAAAACGCAACTGTTAGCTAAATATTGGCTGCGCATCACACCACCTCACCTTTTCCCTCATCGCGGCAGCTCGAAACGTTTGATATCCACAAGCACAGGCAAAGAAAGATATAAATACGAATGTACATCTTTTTTCCACATCAACTAATATGCCCACTTGTAGGTTTTTGACCGTGCAGACTTTATACGGCAACGCATAGCCGCCAATAATTGTGCGTCGTCCCGCGGTGTAAGTGCGAATCGCTACGCACGCGTAACGCGACCCGGCACGAGGTTACGTAACCTTGTTTTGTTTGCGGGGCGGCCTCGCGGAGCCACGCCCTCTCAATCCGCGTGCGAGGCTAATTGGAAACGAGGTTACGTAACAGCGTGCGTAGCGATTCACAGCCGGACGACGCACCATTATTTTCGGATATGCGTTGCCGTATAAAAGCCTGCACAGACAAAAACCTACAAGTGGGCATATGAGCTGGATGTGGAAAAAATATGCACATTCGTATAGAGCTATATATCTTTCTTTGCCTGTGCTTGTGGATATCAAACGTTTCGAGCTGCCACGATGAGGGAAAAGGTGAGGTGATGTGATGCGCAGCCAATTTAGCTAACCGTTGCGTTTTTGTCTAGCTAGCTAGCCATCAATAACGAATAAGCTTACATGGGATTTTTACAGAGGGATGTACCTGTTTTTGGGAGGGACCCATGCTGTTGGGATTTAAGACCTCCTCCGGTTAGGCACTCATGTGCTAAGCTAAAAGCCAATAAGCCATCTTTGGCACTCAAACTATGCCACATGTCCCAACTGGGTCCATGCGATATTGTTTCTTTCACAGAGTGTCGGGACTTCTGTCTCCACACAGTTATATTCTCTTACAGGACTTTACTTGAGTACACTGATTTCAAACGTGTTAAATGAGTATTCTACCAAGAACTATACCTTAGAACTGTTTCATAATTGCAGGTGTTACATTTTACCTTGTATGGAATGCCAGTCACAACCCCAATGATACTTGTGGACCTATCAGTGTTACTGACGTTATCTATTCCAATCCTGGCAGTGAAGCTAACGGTCTCAGATGTAAATCTCCAGAGAGAATAGTTGGAAACACAAAGCGTGATATTTATTGGATTCTAAATAGGAGAAAAATGCAACAAAATGCGTCTTATGAAGGATGGACAAGTATAAAAAAGTCCATTAATGGACATCCAACAGCAGTATTGCAGAGGGATCACAATAGCCAACCTGCAATTGAGGGATACTTTAAATGTGAATATTATGGATTTAGTGACTCTATTCACATCTTGTACCCAAGTGAGTCTATTTGGACAGTGTTTATATACAGATGCTTGAAGTCTAGTGTCTGCTTTTTCAAAGAGTCTAGACACCTAGTGATGATTGTGTGGGATGTAGCTTTAAGGGGAAAAGTGACATGACATTAATTTTCATTGTATATATATACCAGCAGCAATTCATTTCAATTGCCTTTTTCAGTTTATTCAGTATCAGGTGCATTGAGGTGATGTCAGAAGGGAAAGGGACTTCAGAGTGAGATGTACCTCTGCTGGTGGGAGGACACTGAATATGACTGTTTTCTGGACCACACTATCTGGGTGAAGAACAAGGCCACATGATGTAGAACCCAGTTGGGGTTCCAGAGAAATAGGAAATGATACTACACTGCACTACCAGTACTATATCTGAAGGATGTATGGATAGAGATATATATCAGTGTAATGCATCTAATGGAGCTGCTGCTGATCAAACTAAATGTTGTGGAGTTGAGAGGTATATCTGCTTAGACACTTAATTTTACTTTCTGACAAATTTGTGCTATCAACGCCAAGCCCCATTTGTGGCGGAAATGTGCATGTGTAGCCGATACTATCTTCTTACAGACAATGTATAATTGCACTTGCTCACATATAGTAAAAATAGTTTATACAAGACTCTACATAATTACTTTCCTCCCCACAGTGGCCATCTGACCATCAATCTAACACTGACACAGACATCAGCTACGTCAGTGATAGTGGAGTGGAGTCAGCCATCAGGAGGAGCCACAGTGACTGGATATGTAGTACACTACAGTCATGGAGACAGTAACATTATGAATCAGACTGTAGCTGCATCTTCCACTAGTTCAAACATAACAAATCTCGACAGGAACACATCCTATCAATTCTCAGTGGAGGCTACATCAGAACATCTGTCTGGAGAGTCTAATAACTGCACAATATCGCTGTTTGGTAAAGTTTTTGTTGGGCTCTAGATATTATTGTTACCATTTCACAAACACAGATGGAATAAATGTCGTAGAATGTGACCCAGCTCCCTCAGAGTCAAACTGTACTGCTGTCAAAGGTAAGGGTTAAAATGTGTGTGTATAGTCATGTATTCTGAAAACCAACTATCCTTCAGGGTCAACTGCAGTGCTTTTTTCTATTCACTCTACTACAACTGCAAGCTATACCAGTAAGAGTCACTATTTCACCTTCTTTTTTTGTGTGTGCTGCTAAGGCTGTGGTTATGTCATGGTGGCAAAATAATTATGTGTGTCTCCGAAATCTAGAAAGTGTTAGCTGTCAGAGTAGAATAATGTTTTGCAACTGCTACTGTGCCTATTATGCGAATATCTTCTTCTACAGTTGGCACTACAAGTGTTGCTATGACCCATGTCTCAGTGACTGCTTCTTCTGTTGGGTTGATCATAACTTCACCAATGCCACTGCCATCCACAAGTAAGACTGTAATGTTACTCTATTTCAGGTCTTTCTAGTGACATCACCTGATAATTCAGCTATAATGACCTCCTTGATGTCTTCCTCTGTTTCTATGTTCTCCTACTCATACCAGGTTCCACAGCTATGGTGACTGCCATGGTGTCTTCCTCAGGACTTGATGCTAACAAACTTGCTCTCTCACACACTGAATCACCTCCACCTGGTAGAGTATATTCACTGGACATGATACCTTTGTCCTAGTATATACTTCTACTTACTGATTTAATGCTAATATTGCTACTACGACGAAATCCACGGTTAGCTCTGACTTACCTAGTTAATGGGCTTCATTATATACCTACTGTACTCACTTGCCAAAATGTGTTCATTAGTTCTCCAGGCACATAAGTATCACATTCCTAATTACGGAACTTAATATCACTTTGCTAGTTAGCAGTATTAATAGGCTTTTGGACCAAATGTTTTTGCTACATTATCGACATTGACACGACTACGTTGACCATTTCATTGTATATAACTGCTACTGGAACTGCTCCTCACTAACTGAGTCAGCTTCATCTGGTAGGATATGTGCATGATATCTTATTCCTAGTAAGACTAAAGTCGAGGGGTACCCTGGTGACATACAGGTTTTATGGCCCACATGATCCTGATTAATCAACCTTTTGACCCTGTCGAACCTCCTCCGAGTGCGTGCGAATTACCTGACATTGCCACACATTCGTGTACGCAGTAAAAGGTACAGTCGTCTATCTATCCTCTTTAGCTCTACGCTGAGACATCAAAACCCCTCCAATGCAGCTATAACACCTTATCACATCCATACAAAACTGTACTTACTAGAGGAATTTTTGTTACTAAACATATTGCTGTTATGGTAAGCCCTCTTCTTATGCTCACACTCCATGCATGTCTATTAATAACCATTCTCGCTGTCACAGTCTGTCTTGTAAATCTCGCTCCCCTTGTTTTCATCCCTCTTTGAATGATTTTTAATTAATTAATTTGCAGACATTTCTATGAAGATTCTTGTCTTAGTCACTCCTACTTCCTCTGTTCGCTTGATCATGACTCCGTTACCATCATCATCACTTACAAGTAAAGAAGCTTTCTTTTATTGCCCCTGTTATAATAATTATACTCCTCTTTATTCCTAAGGACTACATGGGAGTACTAGTGACATCACACAGGGTTTCATATCCACTTTTATTCATGCCACACTTTCACCTTCCATCACAGTCGTCTCTTCGACAACTGGTAAGCACATCAAACCTATAATCTGGTAGGAATTAACACCTTAACACATCCATAAACATGTCAAAACTGTATTGATCAGAATGTTGATAACTTTTCTAACCTTGTTTTGGTTAAGTCCACTTGGTCAAACCTGTGTATTGCTAACCACTCTTGCTGTCACAGTCTGCACATCTGATAGCAGTTCACGGATCACACTTGTTTGTTCATCCCACGTTCATTTATAGCTTGAAAAATGTTTTTTCCAGCATCAACTAAGTTGTTAGCAAGAATATTTCCCATATAATATGGCATGTAGTGCCATAGGATTGAAGATCAGAGATGGTATGGTCTATTCATTGCCTGTGTAGCTGCTGGTTTAGTTTTATGCCGTGGGGAGAGTCTGGCCTGCAAGACTCAGGCTATGTCCGCACTTTGTCAGTATTGTACATCGATGAATGCATTACCCTGCCTTGTGTCTGTGGAGGGACTTCCAGTTATACAAGACTTGGAACTGTGCTAGCGTGCTATAAAACCTATTTCTACACTTACTGGGTGGAGCTCTAAATTTTTTGTTTGCCTAACGTGGAGTTTTGTAGTAGCCATGTTCGTAGAAAGTGGCACAAAAATGTAGGGTGTTCTACAGTAGCTCAGCCAGGACTGCACAAGGTCTGATCGTAGTGATTCATAGTTTCAAACTAAGCATGTTCCTTTTACATGAGCCTTCCCACAGTTATAATAGACATTATGATTGACTCCCTGATAGTTATTGATGAGGCACGTGGACCATCTAGGGATGGCTGCCTAGAATCAAGAATCTACCTTGCCGTTGGAACTGCTTTGTCTGTGTTTGGGGTGCTTATAGGATTCTTATTTGGATTCTTATTTGGTTTCATTACCGCTACTAGGAGAAAAAGGTAGAAAATTGTTTGTGTATAAACCTCACTCTCAGTCTGTGTAGTAGTACTAATGAAGTAATTGCTGAGGAGAATCCAGCCTATGGTGTGACACTTGGTCCAGGACCAGCAACCACCACTGAGCCACCACCAACTGCTCCTCAGCCTCAGGAGGCTGAGTATGAACTGATCCCTTTTTAGTGCATAGACAACAATACACAACAATACACATTGTGTTTAACGCATTATTTCTCTTGTTTAAGTATAATTATTAGTGAATTACTGCGCCCAAATCGAGCTTATTTCTTATAACTGCATCACATTTCTTAGTGAAGATTCTGACCCAAATGTTGTTATATAGGTCTATAGGTAAATTCAAAGAGGACAGAACAGCAACTTTCCGGAACAGGCCTCCCCAAATTTTATATGCTGAGATTCCACAGATATATACACCACTTAATCGGCAGCCCTCAACGATCTCTGACGGCGTCAGCTTGAAGATGGCTGATAGTGCTGTGATGAGTTCGTTTTTGTACACTGCTCCTATAGACAGCTGGCTTAGCTGGTTTGCGATGTGTGTGAGCATACAGCATAAACATATCAGAGAGTCGGTAGACTCTCTATATAGGTGAAATCTCACGTGATCCGCGTACAAAACGACTAAAAACTCGGTGAGAATCACTCCCTAGGCCTTCAAAACATACTAGCAATAGTCTACGGGCCCATATCTACCTACATATGTCCCCCAAGACCTCATACGCACCTTCAGTCGTCCACGAGAGAATTCGCTCATACGCGATTTCACGATTTTCGTGTCATCATATTCTTCATCATCTTCTTCTTCTTCTTCTTCAGACCCGCTAGCTCCTTACCGGAAGCACTTGAAGCGTTGATTTTTTCACACAGAACGTCTCCGAATTTTCCGGAGGTGTGCACGCATATCAAGCGATCGTTTATTTCTTGCCGCAAGTCACTACGGTAGATCGTTGAGCTCTTCCTCGGTAGTCACTGAACAACGCCATTTGTTGCTAACTCAGCATCAGTGAGCCGCATGCGCCGAGAAGGGCGTTTCCAATGCGGTGCGCGCGCATTTTGTCTCGTAAATCTGGTCCACTAACGAGACTAGGCCAGGACTGGATGCCTTCAGAGAAAACTACTCTCATCCTCCAGTGCCTTCTGTAAGTCAGTGTGCACATTTGTAAGTGGCTAGCTTGCGTTTTGCTGTTGATTTGCACGAGGAGCAACTTGGCAATCTGCGCCGTGCCTTGCCAGGCGCCTTCTTTCTTTGTCCCCCAGGTTATAGCTATCATTGTAGTCTGATTTCTGAAGCCTGCCCAATTAAACCACCACCATATTATGTGCCACAACCTAATCGCGTCCTTGGAGACACTGCTTCAGGTAAGAGCAGTCCATTAGCTTCTGCTTTCATCAGTTATCTCTACAACATACCCATGATTGAAAATGCAGTGTTGTCATATAAGCTGTTAAAAATAGTGGAAACAAGTGGAAAAATCATTTCTTCAAAATGAAAGTAGGATATAGGGAAGACTTGAAGCACCAAAAATGAAGAAACAAGGGGTCATTACACACCAAATATGCACAAAGCCACATGACACCATCCCTATATCTTTGTTTTATTGTTCATAAGCAAAGTTTAATATGATACAAAGATATAGGGATGGTGTCATGTGGCTTTGCGCATATTTGGTGTGTAATGACCCCTTGTTTCTTCCTTTTTGGTGCTTCAAGTCATCCCTATATCCTACTTTCATTTTGAAGAAATGATTTTTCCACTTGTTATTATGTGGCCATTAAAGGATATGATGGCCTGGCACGACCAGCAACTCAGTTCGTCGACAGGAGGGAGGGTTTTGTCTACCATCAATCATGCTGATCTATAAGAGACTAATGGTCTCTCCAGAGTGCTCTGCTGCTGACCTCCAGATACTCTGTGACACCTTGTATTATATACAAACAGCAAAGAAGCAACATCTATAAGAGACCCTCCAGAGTGCTCTGCTGCTGACCTACAGAGACTCTGTGACACCTGTTAATACAAACAAGAAAGAAAGAGAGCGTAGCATGTCTCCCTTTCTAAAAAGAGGGGGGATTGGGTCTTGTATATATAATACCGCCGTCTTTCAAGTAATAATGCTAACCTAATGTGACAGTCATAGACTGATTACATCACACACGAGATCTCTGTTCGGGCAATTCTCCTTCTGCATTATTGTAATGAGAAGTGACCCGGTGATGCCTCGCCAGATGTTGGTAAAGAGGACAGCAGAGGTAGTGGCTGTTGATGATGCAAGGCCAAGAAGGGAACACTTAGAGTCTCTGCAATCTCAGAGCTCTGTTGATAGTGGACACTCACACACCCCGATATTTGGGCTTCGGGGTTTCCAATTTGAATTTTGAATGTATGAAGTTTTCCCTCGTTGCGACTTCTGACACTCAGACCCACAACTTCATCTGGCCAACTAGAGGAAGGGGTTTGTCTCTGAGGAGACTGGCAGTCTCAGTGGTGGTGACAAACAGACTCTTCACAATCATATAAGGCTAAATTTAGTAAAATGTTACTAAAGATATAACAAAACAATTGGGGCAGTGTGAAAGAATAGAGCTGGCCAGAGCCCACCTCCCTCCAGCCATCAGCTACAGAGTTGTAGAACTTGCAGACAGTGACTACTTACTCCTGGCTCACTTTAACTAAACTAACCCACGTCCAAGAGTTTGTAGTCTGGTCTGACAACTATACATCATGGAGATTACTGGGTATTTAGGGTAGATCACTCATGTAAGCCATCACGAAAATGTAACACCTTTTCCTATATATACAATAATACTCTTTCTTTCTGGATTCCTCTTTCACCATTCACTCCCTTGACTCCATTCACTCCCTTGACTCCCTTGACTCCCTAGACTCCCTATAGACTCCCTGGACTCCCCAGACTCCCTTGACTCCCTTGACTCCCATGACTCCCTAGACTCCCCTGATCCCCCTGACTCCCCTAACTCCCTTGACTCCCTTTATATACTCCCTAGACTCCCTAGACTCCCCTGACTCCCTGTACTCCCTAGACTCTCTCCAGGGGAGTCAAGGGAGTCAGGGGAGTCTAGAGAGTCTAGGGAGTCTAGGGAGTATATAAGGAGTCAAGGGAGTCAAGGGAGTCAAGGGAGTCATGGGAGTGCAGGGAGTCAAGGGAGTCAAGGGGAGTCATGGGAGTCAAGGGAGTCAAGGGAGTGCAGGGAGTCTAGGGAGTCAGGGGAGTCAAGGGGAGTCAGGGGAGTCTAGGGAGTCATGGGAGTCAAGGGAGTGCAGGGAGTCTAGGGAGTCAAGGGAGTCATGGGAGTCAAGGGAGTCAAGGGAGTGCAGGGAGTCTAGGGAATCAAGAGGAGTCATGGGAGTCAAGGGAGTCAAGGGAGTGCAGGGAGTCTAGGGAGTCAAGGGGAGTCATGGGAGTCAAGGGAGTCAAGGGAGTGCAGGGAGTCTAGGGAGTCAGGGGAGTCAAGGGGAGTCAGGGGAGTCTAGGGAGTCATGGGAGTCAAGGGAGTGCAGGGAGTCTAGGGAGTCAAGGGAGTCTATAGGGAGTCAGGGGCCCTGACTCCCTATAGACTCCCTAGACTCTGACTACCTCGACTCCCCTGACTGCCTTGATCCTTGACTCCTAGACTCCGTAAAACTCCCTGACTTCTTGACTCACTCTAATTTCTCGCAATCTACGGCTCACTAGTGTCCCAGACACGAACTGCGGGATACTCTTGTGTCCTTTCTCGACTCCTCTGACCACCTGTCTCTATTGCTCCTGAATCCCTCAGACTCGCTAAAAATCTTTTGACTGTGCAACATCAGTTTTTTCTGGGGAGTCAGGGAAGTCTAGGGAGTAAAAGGAGTCAAGGAGTCTAGGGAGTCAAGGGAGTCTAGGGAGTCAAGGGAGTCAGGGGAGTCAAGGGAGTCTAGGGAGTCAGGGAGTCAAGGGAGTCAAGGGAGTATATAAAGGGAGTCAAGGGAGTCAAGGGAGTCAGGGGGAGTCAAGGGGAGTCCAGGGAGTCAAGGGAGTCAAGGGAGTCAAGGGAGTCTGGGAGTCAGGGGAGTCAGGGGAGTCAAGGGAGTCTAGGAGTATAAAGGGAGCAAGGGAGTCAGGGAGTCAGGGAGTCAAGGGAGCAGGGAGTCTAGGGAGTCAATGGAGTCAAGGAAGTCAAAGGAGTGAATGAGTCAAGGGAGTTCATGGTGAAAGGGGAATCCAGAAAGAAAGAGTATTATTGTATATAATTTATAATTATAGGAAAAGGAGTTATATTATCGTGATGGCTTACATGAGTGATCTACCCTATTTAGAGTCTGATGCTGCAGCAAGGTGGGAGAGTTTAATGAAAAATTAGGTCTGAAACCAGAGCGAAGAATTGTTTCAAGTTTGAGAGATGAGGGCTAATAGCCAAGTTCTGTGTGAGAATTTAACATAACCTCATTCCTTGGCCACCTTATAAAATGTTCTTTCTTGAAGATAAACTCGATGACATGGCTAACACAAGAGGTTTTTAGGATGGTAAACTCGGTCTGTGGGCGTGTATGCAAGGTTGATTGTGAAGACAGACTAGAGAAATTTGCCTCCGTGATGCTCAGTAAAGCATACAGAGTACTGCTGGATGGCTGTCAGAATAGCTCCCTCCACCTCCCGTGTAAATGCTCTGGGACATGGCATTGACACTGGTCATCAGGGGACTGTCTCTCTGCAATCACCGTTTTCGGGGATCCATAACTAGGCCATATTGGTCCAAACCTTGCCATCGCTGTGAAATTGATAATATCATGAACCTTATTTCCAACCACTTCATCTCCTCCATTCTAGCCATTGGGTCAGCCTACCATCAACTGCTGATGGAACCTGGAGTATTAGTTCCAAACAGTGTTATGCGCACAATCGTAACCGTGGTAATATTCAGACATATTCCCATTTCCTTTAGTTTAGTGTTTGCCTCTTTGGCTTCTTATTGAACATGATAATGACTAATGAAGTCCGTTCGAGTTCATCTCTGCACTTGCCGTAACTCCGCTCTACTACGCACAAAAAACCGGATTTAAAAAGCGCAACGCGCGCGCATATAGAGGCTCCGTCGATTGCAGGGTTTACGTCCGATAGGTACTGTATGTCCCATATATAATATAGAAAAGAAAGTAAGGACAGTTCACGTGGGCACAGGAATGCAATCATGCGGACGCGCGCACCGACACCGCGTACGCTTTCTGCGAATCCGTATTGTGAGAACCACAGGAAATGTGGTTTACTTGCGCCGTAGTTGAACTATCAGCTTCATAGCAACAGGGTATACAAAAATGAGTGATTGTTCCAAATAATCAGGTTGGAAACAGTAATAGAGAGAGATTCCTGAAGTTGCTGTATGTTCAAATGACCTTAGATACACCAGCACAGCTTGAAACACCAATTCATATTGAGCCTGTGAAAATAAAGAAACTATGCTGCTTTCAAAGTGACTGCATTAGCTTGCTAATGGCTGGTTTAGTGTGACATGTATGCTCCACTAATGTGTAGTGTGTACTACTGTCAGAAACCACAGTTATGTATTTTATTCTTCTGGTCAGGGAAGATACCAGGCTAAAATAGCCTTTCACCCTCAATCATGCATTATCAAGTAGCTAACTATTTTTTAAAGAACGCCCATAGCACAGAGAAAGGGTTATTGGACGATCACTCAAAACTAACTACCATTGGCGGTCAATCTTACCTGTCTAGTATAACAGACTAAACATTGTACAAGCCTAGAAATCCTAACCATAATTATTATTAAGCGATATAAGTTCCACTAACCACAGTGAGGACAGCTCCAGGTTTGTGTACCCTGAGAGCCTTGACCACCTGGAACACATCCACCACTCCCTCTGTCTTACACCTCTCAATGGTGGTGACTATGGCACAGAACATCCCTGACCTACCCACTGTGTCACTGTGGGAAAAGAGAAACCTCATTAGCATTGTTTGTGCCCCATCGTGACAAAAGTGGGGTAGCAAAGCACAGCATAGCCAGAATATCTCCACTGCAGAGCCAGATGCTCAATGCATGAGCCAGATGTCTGGACAATGCATGAGCCAGATGCTCAATGCATGAGCCAGTGGGAAAGGAGATAGTGGTCTGGCCACAAGATTCCAGTGGGAAATACTTTTGGCAAAATGTCCCTAGACCACTTTCATAAGCTTTTGGCATTCTCCAAAAGGTTACCAGACCTTACATCATTCCAGAGTCTGAGAACAAGTCTATACACAATGGGTACACAACGGGCACACAATATCCCACACACCTGCAATGGACTATGATAGGATTGTTCCCAGTTCTCCTCTGAATGGCAGACATCTCATTTATCACACTGGTGATAGTGGCCAGGTGAGAGCAGCTGCCATCAGGACTCCAGTTAGTCATGTGCAACTGAACCACCTGGTGGGCACTGCCAGCCTGTTGCACACAAGGAAAGGTAATTAGAGAATAGCGATGTTGGGTAGAGTTACCTTCTCATTGACGACAACAAGTGTGCGCATTACGAAACCTTTAACAGGCTTTTCTTCCATGAGGTCAACAGTATATTCTCGGAACTGAGCCATTCCTCGGCGCACAGGCCAGTATTGATAACATGTCTCCTGCATTTATTATAGCATGGAACATGTTACGTCAGAATAAACTTTACAGATTATACCTGTCCATCTTCCAACAAGTCACAGAGCATAACAATGACTCCACACTTCCTGTCATAGACCATCTTCCAGAAATCTCTGGCTGTGGACTCCATGGGACTCTGAGCTATGATGAATGCTCTCTTTTGCTTGTAACCCTGTAAAAGCAAAAGTAAACCATGCCACTACAGAAACCAAACCATTATGCTACTTTTGTACATTAACAAACGTTGCATGGATGTAGTCTTGCTTATCACCTCTTAAAACAACTCCCCAGTGGTCACCTGCAATGGCGCAAAAACAACTGTTGCACACTGTTAAAAGATAGCTGTATATAACAAGATATGTAACATGATCAGCACAACATAATGCCCTTATGTTATACTCACTGGGGAGGTAGTAGTCATTGCGATTCTTGAACGGATGTTGTAGAGCCTTGTTCCTAGGTATCTCACAAGGCTTAGGAGACACTTTTTCAAGTACCTATTATACAACAATCACAATTGCACCAACTATTATAGGAAAACACTATTATAGCTACCCGAAACTGGTTTTCATATTCAGTAAGTTGAGTCTGTGGGTAACGATGACTCATTTCTGTAATTCTTCTGCTGAATAGACTGGCATCAATTTGAGTGTCACCACATGTTACAGCCTCAAGTATAGCATCGTGGATAAACATGTACTGTTCCTGCAAGACAGGAATTGAGAATGCACATTGTTCTGCGAGGTAGCAAGTACTTACCAAGCTCTGGACCATTTTCATTCTCTGTGTGCGGAGGTGGATGATGACACCAGCTATATCCACCACCTTCTCCTCCTCTTGCAGCTGCTCAAGAACACAGTCAATAGTTATCAGAGTCCCTGTCCTACCCACACCAGCACTGTGTAAAGTTTGATAAAGAGCATTCAGTTTCTATGCTTAGTGTATACCTGCAGTGAACAATCATTGGTCCCATTCCTCTCTTGTGATGTTTCTTCACTTTCTTGTGGAAGGCCAGAAGTGAAGTGGCATAGTCAGGCACTCCATGGTCAGGCCAGGCTGTGAAGTGGAACTGAGTCACACTCAGAGCTGGTTCTGAACTCTCTGCCAGCTGAGGAGAGACTCAATATAAAGATGCTTCTACACACCAGCGTGTGCATTACCTGGACACTAAACTCCCGAGTGGTGTAGTCAGCCAGTATCTGTTGTCCTGTGATGGTGACATTGAAGGGACCAAAGGACAGGGTCCCAGTCTCTGGCCAGTACTTGTGACACTTGACAGAATTGGCCTCCACCAGATTGGCCAGCATCACAATGGTCTGAGACCTCTCCTGCCACACCATCCTCCAGAAGTCTACCACTGTCTTTGGCAGTGGCCCTGTGAACCAAAACAATAATTTTCTCTTTCCGTTGATTATAGCTACTGGCATGCGTCCCCAACAGACACTGAAAGCAACAGAGCCAGGGACACTACAGTTACTCTAGACCAATGCATTGTTTGCGAGCGAGTGCGAGCAGTTCAATATTTCGTGCTTGGTGGCTGTCATGTCACATAGAACATTACTGTATGTATGGCATCGCCGGATAGAAAACAATCGGTCTGTTGGCATGACAATTGCTTCGCTTGCCAATAACAACGTATATTTCCACATGGAGTATTAGCAAAAAAAACCTGTTGTTTGAAATGCCACCAAAAAGCTATATACTCATTATCTCAATTATATAATGTACTTGGTAACAGTTATGAGGCCAACCTGTTTCCAATGGTATAGTGGTAGTAACTTGATTGCTGTCAGTTTCGTTAATGTTTTCAAGTGGATTATGAGCCATCTTGGGAATTATTTTTTTCTTCCTTTGATAAAATCTACATTTATCATCTATATATGAGTATATAGGAACTAACCTTCGTATAATACATCCCAAGACTACGATGCTGAGCATAAGCACAAACACTGTCGCAATTGATGAGATTGTGAT